GGTGGCCAGATGGAATCCTTCAGGAGTGGTTGGGCCCACAATCGTACATCTTGCACCAGAATTTCAATTGCCTCTGTTCAAAAACCAACTGTCGAAGAGGACTTTGCAGGCCGGACGAAATCAAATAACTGACCGGGAGTTTGACACCCATGGCCTAGACCGACCAAAAGTTCGTGTAAATCTTCCACAGGTCATTCTCGAGAACAGGATGGGCGATTGTAGTCGATAGGAAAAAGTGCCGATCGATGAAGGGGTCGGGATTCCGATAAATGTAAGGGCGAAGATCTCACCCCGGCGAGGAAATTTTCACCCCCTCAGCGAGATGAAAGGGGACTCCAAGGGTTCTACGTCGGGACGTGTAAAAATTGGGGAAGAGGGTCTGCTGCCTATAGCGATGGGAGGGTCTCTGAGTTTTAGGGCCACGAATGAACCAGGGAGTTCTTGCCCAAGAGTTCGTGGAAGTTTTCCACAGGTCGGCTAGTAGTATTATATCAATAGTATGCTACTGTATTCATGAAAGCATCCGCAAATGTTTCCTCTCGCCTTCAGTCGTATATTGTGTGAGTGAAACATCCATGTCCTCCAAGTGTGAGCCAAGGGTGCAAAAGTTGTGCCACACATGGTCTAACAACCGAACTGCCACAGAAACGCAGCAACTGTCGCACATACGCCGACCTATGGCCACACATGCGCTGCTGATTGGGTGTCATGGACTGCAGCCTCGTTCGTAATTCATCTCCAGCGCGATTTCTGACTGCAAGATATTGTATGAGGCGATGCCAAGGCGTTTCAGGCGTTTCAAACTTCCGTCATGATTTAACTCAGATCATACGGAATTCATGAACGACCGCCANTTTGTCTTCTAGGTAGGACGCTATCCTTGTCGTTAAGATCTTCTCCAGGAGTTTACCTATACAGCTCAAAAGGCTGATAGGTCGAAATGAAGATGGGTCTGAGGGATCCTTTCCTGGTTTCGGAATCATTGTTACGATTGCCGATTTCCAAGAAGGTGGGACAAGGGAAAGATCTCGGCTGGCATTGTACAGATCGCATAGTCCGTCAATTAGTTTGGCCGAGCCGTGCTTCAGGGACGAGAAAAAAAGCTCTATCGATCCCTGGGGCTTTGCAAGCTATAAATTGAAGAGTGTTGCAGACCTCTTCTGGGTCTACAGGACGCCAGACGTTGTCGGGAGAGAAGGCAATGAATGATCTCATCCTGTAGATAGGCCTCGGGAGAGAAGAATTCTGGACAAGGAAACGTTTCTTATCGGGAATATAAGCTTGTATATGGGCTGGACACCATGAATCTGTCTCAAATATGAGGATTAAAAATGATTAAATGCCCGCGTTTATTGATTCTAATTATGAGACTAAGCGAGACATATGGTGAGGTACTAAACACTCCTGTGAGGGACGATTCTAGGGGAAGAGGGAAGGTACTTTTGTGTATTGTGCGAAAAGTGAGACCCATGCCTCCATCTAGTGGCAAGAAGGAGAACTTCAACATTTCCTTAGGTACATTGGATCATCACCCAGTGCCAGCCATCCATGGGCCATGGGTGCATGGGCCGTAGTGGATATGTTCGCTTTATCTGCGGCACCCTCATCTGTGGGTCAAGTGTGGCTCATGTGTGGGGCACGTTATTGACAGAAAGAACCTAGCTGGTCTGTCTGCACATAGAAGCATGGCACAAACGTGGTGTATGAATGTACCGCTCCATATATGTCCGTTTTTTCTACGGCGACCCGTAACCTACAATGGTGGAGACATTTCCATCCACAGTACTTGTACTGCTGGTACTGGCATAACCCCCTCCTCAAGCTAGAGTTTGACCCATGGATGGGCAGGAGGCATAGGATATTACAGGAGCTAATCTACCCCTGAAACGTGCTAATTATCTACATATATATATTACGCTTGGGCGTCTGTATGTCCGCAGTGCCGTGTGCGGCGCCTTCTTCTGCACGGCTCCGGGTGTCGGTGTCTCGCTCTCTCGAGCGAGCACCTTCCCTCCGGCCATTGTGGCTGTCGGATCCATTCTCGAGAACGTAATAGCCCGGGGGGGGGGGGGAGTTCAGATGGCGTGACGAAAGAAGCACAAAAGAGCGGCTCAGGGCCTCCTATTTGGTGGATAAGTACTTTTCCTCTACACCATCGAACCAAATACGATCAGGTAAACCTTTCCATGTTATCCATAACATTACATTAATGGGGCCGCTAACTGAACTCGTGAATATCCGAATGTGCTACACGTTTAGCCTAGGCCGACCCAGAATTCGTGGATGTCGCCACAGGTTGGGTCTCCGTGTCGCTCTCGAGCGAGCAGTTTCTTTCGAGTCTTTTCGCGACTGTTGGATTCGTTCTCGAGAACGGGAGAGAGAGAGCGGCTGTCGCGTAGAATGTTCAAGTGCTGACTGAACTCATGGATTCTCGACTGTGTTCAGGACCGTAGAAAGGGGGGGGGGACCGACCACACTGGATGATGTATGCACTATTGTTTATTATTATCGTAGCGTTCGTTCGCAATGAAGAGTTCAAACGTGAGTGTATTTGAAGCGAGAGGGAGGGAAGAAGAGTGGAAAGGGGGCCCTTACGTGAATATTGCCCCAGGCTACACAATTCATTTTGGCGACCCTGACTCTGTTACACGCTTAGCCTAGGCCAGAAATGTCAAATTTGACTAAGCTGGCGGCCGGATGGAATCCTTCAGGAGTGGTTGGGTCCACAATCGCACATCATGCACCAAAATTTCAGTTGCCAATAGGTCTGCTCTGCTTAAAAACTCACTGTCGAAAAGGACTTTGCAGGCCGGACGAAATCAAATAGTTGGCCGGCAGTTTGACACCCATGGCCTAGATCGACCCAAAGTTCGTGTAAATCTTCCATAGGTCATTCTCGAGAACGGGATGGGCAATTGTGGTCGATAGGAAAAAGTGCCGATCGATAAAGGGGTCGGGATTCCGATAAGTGTAAGGGCGAAGATCTCACCCCGGCGAGGAAATTTTCACCCCCTCAGCGAAATGAAAGGGGACTCCAAAGGTTCTACGTCGGGACGTGTAAAGATTGGGGAAGAGGGTCTGCTGCCTATAGCGATGGGAGGGTCTCTGAGTTTTAGGGCCACGAATGAACCAGGGAGTTCTTGCCCAAGAGTTCGTGGAAGTTTTCCACTGGTCGGCTAGTAGTATTATATCAATAGTATGCTACCGTATTCATGAAAGCATCCGCAAATGTTTCCTCTCGCCTTCAGTCGTATATTGTGCATGTGAGTGAAACATCCATGTCCTCCAAGTGTGAGCCAAGGGTGCAAAAGTTGTGCCACACATGGTCTAACAACCGAACTGCCACAGAAACGCAGCAACTGTCGCACATACGCCGACCTATGGCCACACATGCGCTGCTGATTGGGTATCATGGACTGCAGACTCGTTCGTAATTCATCTCCAGCGCGATTTCTGACTGCAAGATATTGTATGAGGCGATGCCAAGGCGTTTCAGGCGTTTCAAACTTCCGTCATGATTTAACTCAGATCATACGGAATTCATGAACGACCGCCATACTGACGAAAATGCTAGATTTGTCATCGAGACTCTGGCATTTTATGATGATGAGCTTCAGGCGAATTAACTTTCCCCTCCCGATTTCGAAATCTCTTGTGATTCTATCAATATAGAGTTCTTAGCTTTTCCAGTGCATATGCGCCTTTGAATTTTTATTGAAATTCTTCTCATTGAGTCTCCTAATGGTAAATTATCCTATTGGCTGTTTCGTGAATGCTAACTTCACCCGATCATTTCATCGTTGAGCCACTCGAAACAGGTACAAGAAACTTTGCAATGCATCAAGGGCACCAACGCGAGTGGAGGAAAATAATTTAAAAGTATATGCGTTATGGTGGATAATGTACAGTAATCATTTTAAACAAAATTATGAATGGTGGGGCATCCTCTCTTGAGAAGAGGAAATTGTCTGGACTCTTGAGCCATTCTAGAGTTTGGGGGTCACTTCCCTCAATTTCAGGGGAAGAGGAATGAGACAGGGCCAGGTGAGACGAGATTGACGGATTGGCTACTCAGATATAATCCTCGGGATTATTTTTTTGGAAAACTAGACTACCAGGAAATATCTCTCGCTCCTAATTGGACGTGGACTTCAAATTTGCCCCGATTTGACACACCTGATGTACGAGGTGCAGTCAGAAAGTCCGTGCGTTTACCAATATTGGCCGTGTGATTGAAGCCAATCGGTGGTTGTCGTTGCCTTTAGACCTTTGTCCATCACCCTCTGTAATTTCGTTGGTGATAAGACGATTTTGATGATTTTTTGTGCCGTTTTATGGACTGGATTAATACATAAATTGCACAACAGAGGAGCAAAGGGAAGTAGGGATATTTCTTGGAGCATGCGGAGAATAACACTTTGGAAAAAAAAAAGAGAAACAGTCCGTAAGTGGGTGTGGGAGTTCGCAGCTGGGAGAGTTTTCCCCAGAGACAAGTCCAGTTCTGAAAAGGAGACTGCTGAGAAGTGAGAGAAGTGGCTTTTCGAAACTTGGGATTCTTTAAGAAGTACTTCATAACGGCATGGGCAACAGTAAATATGACTTCACCTTGTACACATCTTGCTTATAAAGGGCATGATAAATGCCTATCAGGAATCCAGTCAGTCTTCGGGACTAATCTCTTCATAATGAAGAAAATGAAGATACGAGTCCAGAAGGTCGAATCATTTTTAATAATAATAATAATAATAACAATACTTGGTCTTTTTTAAAGACCGAGGGACTAGAGCAGGTACATTATTCTGGGAGTGAATGACTCGTAATGCCCTTGTGGATAAATTAATGTCACTGATGAGACGAACATAATAATCAGGAGAGGGAATTCGTATCCAACGTCATCATAATAGAAAGTTGGGAAAGTCATAAATATTAACTGATAGCAATGAAATGATGTTTCATGGTTTCCCACGCCTGATAAGGATGATATTGGCGATAGCAGCTCTTTAAAAAAAGGGGATCGCGGATTCGCCTCTTCGAAGGAATTCCTCGATATTTTCCCGCAGTCGGATGTTAAAAAGGGATCCCTTGAGTGACTGATTCTCCATGGGTAAGGCTTTCTCCAGGCATCCTCCACTGCCATTCCGTCTCATCGTCATCCTCTCCCCAGACACCAACACTCGACCCCGGCCGCAGAAAGCCACCCTGCGCCAAGAATGGATGTCGAATTCTGGAAGGATGCACGAAGAAATCGCGTTGGACTTACTTGGCACGGCGCTCGAGGGTTTGGACTACGACTCGGTCGATGACTATCCTGGTTTGAGATAACGATCGCTTTTTCTTAGCTTTCCTGGTCTTTTCTTCGTGTTCCCATTCCACGAGAATCTCCTCGATTTCCCCTATCTCAGGAGATGGGACCAGGAAACTGAATCCCTGACCATGCTTGACGCGCAATCCCCTGTCAGAGTAATCACCTTCAATCGAGTGCAACATTTCCTACGAACATTTCCTAATTTCCAATTACTTTTACTCTCAAAGACTAAAAAGGAAAGGAAAATTGAACTCTGTTTACTTCTCTCTGATAAAAAGGGCAAAGAAATCTATCTCTCGTTTTTAAGAGTGTTGTACCTCTTTCATACTCGGCGATTCAGTTTCTAAAATTTCAAGCAAATATATATAATTGCACAGAATCAAATCTCAATAAAATAAACGCCACACAATTCTTATTCTTGATTGAAAATTAATCGGAAATAATATACTTACTCATCTCCTAGTCGTGACCTGGAGGAGGAGCCACGAGAGCCGTGAAGAGTGATGTGAAACTTGCCGATATCACCTTCATTCTTGTCTGGGATCTGGTAATCCGCAACGACCATCGTCACCATATGGGTCACCTCTATTCAGCATCATCCGCGTCAGTCCATTAACATATGGGTAAAGAGATTCATCGTGATAGCGGGAATGAATCGTACGGCAGTGGGGACGGAGATCGCTGGTGAAGAGATAAAGTTGCTGAGATTTCCCCTTGAAGGAATCTGGTTTCCATGCTTCCCTTGCGTGGTATCCCATTTGACCGCACTTTTCTCCCCTCTGGCCACAACTCGTACAGCCTCCTCGCCTGCACGCATTATAAGCAGTGAAATTCATATGATCATGTAATAAAAAAAAGTGTATATAGAGCAAAATAAAAGAAGCACCATTGCATTCTATGGGAGAAAGGCAGCACAGTGTACGCGACTAACAATTATCTAATAGACTGATATATAGACGATCGTGAGTGACTAAATGATTGAATAGCATTTAAAATATAAGACTGCGTAGGCTACGCAGAAGCTGAGACAGAATACTCACTCGAATTCGAACCAATTGGAGCATTGATAGGCGACAAAAGGACAGGGAGAATTGATGGATTCGATGAAGTAGTTGATGCCCTTCAAGTGGTTGCAAAACAGGTACCGAGTTAAACCTGGGAGCAGCACCAATGATCAACACATGAGCACCAAGTACTCCTTATGCAAAAAAATTGCCGAAGTTTGAAACTTTGGCTATCACGCCCTGAATGAAATGTGAAAAATGTCTCTCCAGACAACAAAAAAATCCAGGGGAAAAAAAATGCAATCGTTCCTCACAATTTTAAAGAACGAAAGTTTGCATGGAGGGAGTATAGGACTCGAGACTGAACGTAATTCATACCGTAGACAAAAGAACTGTTTTCTTTCTGGAGAGTATCCGGAAGCGACAGCTCACATCCCGGCACGCGACTCCCGAAATTGGGATAAAAATCTACGTGACCCATCGGTTGGAGCATCCCAAATCCTGTCATGAGACACAGTAATAATATTGCATCTAACAGCATCCACTCTAAGGCTTGGAATTCCAATACTTACCTCCTGCTGCGAGAGGAGTAGCGTCGGTGTGAATGACATCCACGAAGAGGGCATCCTCTGGATCGAGTCTGACCAGGGGATCCGTGTGTTCGAACTGGGGTCCAGCCGGGTCGAGGCCGGTGATGCGACCCAGATTCCCCTGTCGCAAGTCCTTTAGCGCGGATCCGACGTACGAGGCCACGTGAGCTCCCAGGCTTTGACCCACAACGTGCATCTCCTGTATTCGTACTCCAGTCTCCCTCTTTCCAAGTACACAGCCGTTGTCGTAAATGATTGAATAGAATATTTATATTCAAAGGATAATTGAACAAATTTTTCCCAAACATGAGGCATACCTGAGATCTCAATCAATGTAAAGCTTCTTCATACGAATACGAAGTCTTCCTTATGGAAATAGACTGTACTCTTAAGGGCGTTTCACATTTTGCGTGTCATGCGTCAATGCTGGGGCAGGTAGACAGACGCGCGCGTGCACACGCATGTCCATCGAAGGTTTTCACAAAACGCAAGGCTTGCGTTTTCAAAAGAGCTCATCCCAATTCCACTCGCAAGCCTGGCGTTTTGTGAAAAAGTTGGAATATAAGTGGACACCCGTGTGTACGCGTGCGTCTGCCTGCCTGCCCAAGCATTGACGCAAAGGACGCATGATACGCAAAATGTGAAACGCCCTTCATGCTGTCATGCGTAGACCGAGTGCAATATATCCTGTTCAGGGTCAGGCTATAGAACCATCTTCCAGGCGGCCACGTGGTTGTTGTGGTCACACTGATGTTGCACCAATGCAACCCCGATTTGGATGGGAGGGCATTGACTGGATAGGGAATTGACAAGGTAGTAAAAAAAATTCCCAATTGAATACAATGAGTTTGGTCGTTCCAAGAAGAGTAATCCAAAGATGGTTGAACCGCCGACTTGGATTTAGCTGTAAGAAATCTTGACTTTTGAGGCTCAAGAGAAAGTCGAAAATTGGACACTCTAGGTCCAGCAGAAAGTTAAAAATACTTTCACGTGCAAGAACAGCATCTTCCAAGCTACACAAACTGGAAAGCTGGTAGATAGCTCATTTTAAAGCATGATGCTAAAGCATGATTAACCCAGATTAGTTTCTCATAACTCTTAAAACTCAAGAATTTTCACTACTAAATCCCATCCCGTGGCGCAATTGACCTCCTGAGACCTAGCAAAGCGACCACTCTTTCGGCGAAATACTGGATTTTTTAAATACTTTTTTCTTGGATTTTGTTGGTTTTTTCTGCTATCAAGGGGAACATCCGGACATTTCTTTGTACTCATGAAAAAAGGGAGGCTTACGGCGAGGAAGGCTAGGAAATGAGCACCCATGACTCCGATTAGCCGGATATTGGCCACGGCTTGATTGTATGTTGGTCCGGATCCCCCGAACCAGCTCAATACCACTACGTTCTGGTCTCTCGACTTCAGCAGCTCCTCCTTAATTTCCTGCATTTAGAGACTCTATATTAGTAACAACATCATATCTTTCCTTCAAGACAAAAGGATGAAAGACTGGACCAGCAGCCACGGCGTCTGTCCATGTTCCAGGAACCCGTGAGTGAGCAACGTGATTGGATGCCTGGAATTGAACGGCGATTGCTGCAACCTCCTCGTCTCGTTCGTCTTCAAACGCTGAAGAAAATATAATAGTCAGACCAGCAGGCATGATCATTCTACTAGTAAGACTCTTGAAACGTGAAAAGGTCATGCAACACACGAGAGAGTTTAATTTTAGTTCAGCATGGAGAAAAGGGACAGGCCTCCCAAACGTGCGCGTGCTACATGGGGAACTATATCCCGGGCAGCACACCTACATTGGGCCCATGTTGAAATTCGACATTTGCGATGTGGGTCCAACGTTGGTTCCTCGTAGACTTGTTCCGCGGCCCAACGTTGGGTCAACTTCAAATGCCGACGTGCGCCATGACATTCAAGGGGTTAAAGGAAGTTTCGATTGAGATTGCATTTCCGTACGTAATTATTCAGCTCCCTCTCAGGGGACTTTGCCACCGAGTCTGGCTGGAAGTACTCTAGGGAAAAGTACTTCCTCAGATTATCATCTTTTGAGGTCTTCACTTTCCATTACAGGATTTGACCAAGCCCATCATCCACTTATAAAAGTGGGGCAAGACTGAGCTGACCATATCTATAGTCATATTTGAACCTCCCCGAAAAAAAACAAGACCCAACCTCTACAATCAAGAAAAGCTGCTTTTCTTTATCGAGTGAAGCCGGATTTGAACCATGCTTCCTCCATGATTAACAAGAGTCTGTTTGAACTGCTTAATCTGTTTAAACAAATGAACTGAGAAATTCGAGTGTCTTCCTTCACGTTCTATATGGAAATGGATCAAGTACCGCAAGAAAGGTACCGGAGTCTTAAATAAATGAATCACTCCCTGTTCCCACTAAAACAACGGCTACATAAGCGCCATCTCGCATCAACTGTGGGAGGCTTTTTGCTGCAATGGTGGCTACATACCTGCCGTCTTGCTTATTCTGTGGGATGTTTTTTGTCCAAATACCTGAGATAGACGTCGCATCCTGAGTCATGACAAATGCACTGAGCTAAGAAAAAGAACTGGAGATAGCGCACAATAGAATGGATTTTCTGCAATTGGTAGCCATCGTAAGATAGTTGGGTCCATAGTGGCTCTTATCCATTCACTACAATGGAATTTTCAAAATTTCTATCCCAGTTTTCCTGCTGTCGTGAAAGTGATGGCAGGCAGTCATGGTACTGGAGGCCTAATAATTCTGGGGGAGTATCATAGAACTGATAACATCATGACGGAACTCTTCTTTCGTGTGGGCGAGTCTCCAATTTCTCGAGTTGGCCTCTAAGTTCCAGGCCTGATTTTGCTGAGATTGCTGGGCGTACGAAGGGGATAGCGTTACGCCGCCCTTGCATCATCACAGTCGACATATTTTACAGCAAGTCTAAAGCATAAAGTCAAACGAACTTCGAGTGAACGTTCAAAAGTAAACATATAGACGAAGGTCGAGCTTGGAAGAGGTGTTGGCGGGTATTGGCAATGCATGCTTCCGTATTCATCAGGGCTGCTCCAATGTTCCCGCGGTACCTGCTCCATTACTCCGCCAATGCGCACCACAGGCCGGCTTTAACCTGGTTCCAACCAATATGGCTTCAAAATGCAGCCGTTTTCCCTATACTACTCCTACGGGCTCGCCATCTCCAGTTCTTTTTCTTAACTCAGTGGAGAAATGTTGGCTGCCGCCCTAGCGCCAATGTGGGGCCAACACAGGCAGCCCACTCCGATGTTGGCCCACTTTTTCCCACTCGCAGTCAACGTGGGCCCAATGTATTGTGCTGCCGAGGTACCTCCATTCCAACTTTGGAGTCCAACCTTGGAAACTTTACCATGAGCGTGACCCAATGATCTCCAACAAATAAACCATTAACTAAGCGTGGATGGAAGAAAAAGGGGGGGGGGGTTCGGGAATTATAGGATACTGTTACCATGCACTTCTGGTTCTTTTCTTTCTTCTTTGCCTTATTTTCTTGAAGGATGACTTTCTCTGCGAGCCCTTCTGCTAGTCCTCTCGTTTTCGTCACTTCCAATACAATGCATTTACTTTGCAGTGCAAGGACTCCCCTCCCCCCTTGGGTAGAGCCTTCATAGCGTCACAAACAGTAATATTTTCGCCGATATAAAGGAGAATCACCGTACGTAGCAATCTTTGGGATTTCGGCGAGTGTATAGGCAGAAGACAGGTCGAATGACCTCTGAAGATTCGGGGTACAAAGCCAATGGCCTCTCTGCAGATGTCCACGGGTAGTCCGTAGAGAAGCACCCATACGGGGGATGACATTTCTCCCCTTTTCTCTTCCCTACGTATAGATTTCAAAGTGGACAAATTGAATGGTAGGGAAAGAATATACGAGTATATTACTAAGGCTTCGAGCTCCGGAGCATGGTCAAATGTCAAGGTCAAGAGTATGGTCAAGAGTAAAGCTGGAAATAATGGGTGCGAAGAAAAAAACGCCAGGTATGCATTAAAAAAAAGTTTTAATAATAATTTCTCCCTCATTCATCAAAAAATTTTTCTAATGGTTAAGTCACACAAGTACTTCAAAGCCCTCTGGTGTATTTGGAAATCTCCCACCAGTGCCACGAGGGGTCCGATGTAGGAGGCCTACATAGGAGGCCTACACCGATCTTGACCCATTCTCATAAAGGGACTTCTCGACCGAGAAACCTGCTGCCTTAGCCTGAGGCGCGAGGCCTTTGGCTTCTATGCTTTTCCATGCCATGGGGGAAGGGAAGGAGGTCGTCGCGTTCCTGTACTCTTGCGGATGCGAATGGGTTACTTACATTTTCCTAGTAGGAAAACGGAAAGGAAGATCTCGACATCTCGATTTAAAGTGGCTATGCCCAATCCTCTTACGGACGCTTATTCCAATGCTATTTCTATACACACACTTTCTCCAACGAAACGGGAACATGAATAGCTATGGGCTGCATTCACGGACAACTGTATGTGGCCTTAGGAAGAGTATGAAAAAAGGATTTTATAAGAGTCTTTGTGCCCGAACATAGATATGAATATAACGATAAAACTCCACATAGACTACGAAGATTTTATGCGTTAAAACGCTGATTTAATAACCTCATGTGTTTGCTACTATGTTTTTGGAGATTTATACGCAAAGAAGATTGTGACGACCACAGGCAGGAATTAAATGTATAGGAACACTAAACGACGCATTGAATTTTTACCTGGTGATCTTCACGCTGGAAGTCAGATGACGTCACTATGAATATTTTCTGAAGCAACTTTATTTTCAAGGTGCGAGCGCCAAAAGCGCGAGAATTGCCAAACCCAATAACTAATGGGTTTGACCGCATCATTAGGGGTGAGGTTCGAAAACGAATGTTTTAAATAATTAGTCATTTTCTTTGTTCACAAGGCGCCGAAGGCGCTAGTAATGTAATGAAGGTGTAGATATTAAGGTAAGAGCGGTGGCAGACCCACCCCCCTATGCCCCAAGCCACGGAGAGTGAAGCTTCTTCATTCTAGCCGAAGCTCGTGCTTTCCCTGGTGAATGCAAATTTTACTCATATTAAGCAGCTGTCATCGGAGGAGAAATTCTCAATGATACACTCTGAATATAGACTTCCCGCTTGCTGACCTGACATCTTCGCCATTGGGCTGCCTCAGCAGGAATGGAAATTCGGTCTATTTTCTAATAAAAATCAATGATAAAAAATTCGGAATTTTCTCGTAGGAAGTTCTCACGTGAGGAAAGAAGATCGGCGAAACCTGAAAGGAGGTCCTTTCCTAAAGCCGTGTTGCCACGGCTGTCTGGCGCGGAACTGGATGAATCAGGTTCCAGGACGGCATCCAGGGACGTAATCTGCTTTTCCATGTAGAAGCTGACTAACTGCTTCCACGCGGCTTCCTCCATGAGCAGGAGGAACTGAACCACCAAACCGGCGAAGCCGATCAACATCCCAGTCTGCAGGACGAGGAAGAAGAGGGAAAAGGTAGCGTCCCCTTGAGCTCTTGAATCGATCGCAGAAACCTAAAAGCATAAAACGACTCGATCTACGTTGATGAAATATGGTACGGAAACACACGAAAGCGCATCCAAAAGTTGAATGAACCTCCACGGTCGTCGGATTCGTCGGTCTCTCGCGAAGCCCAGACGGCAACTCAGCCTAGCACTACCTTACTATGAGGATACCCGTCACGCACAGAACACGTGACACCAAGTGATGCGGTATGTGAGAGTACTGATGCACAGCTCAGCGCTGGACTGAGGCGAATGCGCATCAGAATATATAGCATGCATTAGTGAAACAACATATTCCTATCAGGCGTCTGTAGAGCTTCTCTATGAGGACTTTTTCTCGTTGGTTCCTCACCGACCATCTTAGAATCCTAGTAATAATGATTTAGATTGTTGGAATATTCGGGGTTTTCAGTTTTTCAATAACTTCAATTGTCATGCTTTCTTTTTACGGTGAATCTCGGTAATTTGTGCCCCCAACTCTGAAATGTGAAACATTTCCCATTTCTCTCGCGCACTCCGGGACCCCCCCCCCACACCTCTTAAGGAGATCGGAGCTATATTTCCACCGCCCTAGAGAAAATTCCTACGCTCATGGATCCAACAATTAAACGATGCAGAAGTCATGGCCAGATGACAAGGGCAGGAGGAAGATTACACAGCGAGGCAAACGGACGGATAAGATTAAAGGTCAAGGAAGAAAGAAAAAAGGGAAAATTTGATGATGTTACGTTGAGGGGGGAAGCTAATTTCTTCTTTCATGAACTCTTCTAGAGGCCACAGAGAAATGTCTACGGAAAAAAAGTGGAGAAAGCGGCCAGACCCTTGCACAAGTCGGCCATGAATGAGGAAGCCGGAAGAGCCTCCGGCATGAGGGGAGCGAATCCATAAAAAAAAATAGTCGGTGTGTCTAGGGCCCGAAGATCGCTCTCTCGCATTCTCGATCTGAGTCTGCTAAAGATTGGGGACTGGAAAGCAAATATGTGTGAAATTTAAGTTGCGTGGCATTCCTGGATCCACCGAACCTGAACGAAGAAGGAATAGGAACTGTCGTGCCGATTTCATACAACATTTCTTAATGATCCCAAATACCGGAAACACGTTCAGGAGTAATTTTTTAAATTCTAGTTTCTGAATGTCTGCGAAGTACGGAATGTATATGATTAGTATGTAAACACACATTGGGAGATTTGGCGTACTTAACGGTAGGAGTTGCTTTCAAACAATTGTCTTAAATCATCTGACAAACATGTGGAAGGACTCTAAATTTAAAAGAAAGTTGGCTCTGTTAATGTCTTTCAAGTCAAAACATATCCATTTTCAGGGGAAAATGAGACAAATGTGACTTCATGGCGGTTTATTGAACTCAATATTGATATCTATTCTTCCAATAGCTCAATCAAAGGAACAGAAAACATTTAGACGAGGCTCACACAATGATGTACAAAATTTGATTATAAGGGGTTACCTAATGGTTTCGTGAAATGAATCTCATCATAGACGATGACCATCGATTTCGATCCATCCATTTAATTTATAAAAATGCAATAGCTGTGTAAAATTTCCAGTTATTTTCTATTAAGTGATTTCTATGATTCAGGGAAGGATAGAAGGATTTTGCCTTCTGCCCTTAAGGATGATAGGTTTAGATATTTCACAATAAGACGCATTCAAAGCATTCGAAAAACCGATAGCAATGGAATTTTACTTACTCCGGAGTGGAATTGAAAGCGTGGTAGCGACCAATGACGATCAGAATTCGAGTGGAGAACGGATTTTCCCGGCTTCGATCCTAGCACTTCAAGGGAACTTCCTCACAACAGATGAATGGTCCTAAGCGAAGTGAGCGCGCGAGCTGACTTCCGATCCCTGAGGGGGGAGAAGGGGATGGAGTGGAAGAGAAGGATGGAGGAGTGAAAAGTTGATGCCCTTGAAAAAGAAAAAGCGTGACTCGCTCATCCCGTTATGCCACCTTCTCAAATCAGTTACGTTGCTTGCGAAAAATGTCGATCTTGAAGGAAATTGAAATTACGGGAAACATACAGCTTTTATATAGACTCCTACCATTTTTAAAGCTGAAATTCCAAATTATAGATACCAACTTCCAAATCGATACATAACTGCAATCTATCTGTTTTTTCCTTGAACATTCAGGATGTTCAGTATGTCAGGGGTTATGGTGCGAACAGCAGCATAGATACGATCTCTTACATCTTCAACATTGAGAACCTTTATGCTGTGAACCTTTGACTTAATGTAACCCCCCCCCTGATTTTTTCAAGAAGATGCACCCTTTCCAGCTTCTCTCAGTCTTTCGCTAGCCCCAATTTCTCCTGGGATTTTGTCCTTTCTTCCCGAAAATTTTCTAGACGAACTGCTGGACAATGGGTGAGCCACGCGATAGGAAAATGCCTCCAGCTTTATTGCCACCAAAGGAAGCCATTTCTTGTGGTGCTGTTCGCATGAGGAGTACTTGGAAAAGTAAGAACCACAGGACAGAGGGCCCAGTTTTTAGGGATCACATACCACTACCTAGAGAGCAGGGTGGGGAGTGGGGCGTTAAGGAGGGTGTGGAGTACCTCGGTACTTCGGTATTTTCGAAATACCACCCAACTTAATTGATACTATTGTCGGTGCAATGACTGGCAAAGCCTATTAACATTTTTGAATATGATCCTTGATTACTGGTTTCCATAAGCATATTTTACTGTAAAAAATGCGTATGTTCTCAATCGGCCACCTCTATGGAGGAAAACCCGGTTGTATATTAGAGCTTAGACAACGAGCCAAAAGATGTCAAAATTGGCATGTAACTTTGCTGTCAGGTCGGAAGAGGTTAAATAGAAATTTCACAGCTGCACAAAACACAAAAGCGTTGACCTGACACCACTAAAGTAAAACTTTTGGAAGTTATGGCCATTTCATTACAACCCCTCTATCGGTCGCTTCAGAAATGAACTCGAGCAAAACTGTAGGTCGGAAGTCGTTCAGTGATCCCCTGCAAGAATTGAAGCGCTGAAAGGTAATGTGATCTATCTGCTAGAAATATCTAAAGAAAATATTTTTTATTTAATGCACATAAAATTATATCCCTTATGTTGAAGATGATAGTTTTTGGGATGCAGGTAAGGGAGAAAGATGTCTTCAATGCAAGCCACTTTGACTCATTACCAAGATGTCCACTGGAATATTCACTCTATTGGTAAGGAGCTGGAAGAAGAGTTTTTCAAATGCGAATTTTCATTTTAGCTCTGCAATTATAAGTCAGATTGCATGTTAGGGCATGGTTGTGCATGTTTGTGCGCCATCTAGCTTCCACACTATACGCAAATATCCGTCGCATGGGATAAAATGACCGATTGTAAAGAATGAAAGACGACGAAGGAGGCTCGTTTATGGAAGCAGTTTCTTATTTGAAATTAGTTTTTCCATCTGTAATATGAACGAGAATTTTCTTGCAGCTCTTGATGGAGGCCATCTGGATATCGGGAGAAATTCGGGTGTGTTCCGAATACCACACTTTCCATCGCTCAGGAAGAACTCTCATATTGCTTTCAAGGTTTCAAGGTATTTTATCGTCCTCACAAGGAGCAACTTCTTACTTTCCAGAGCCAGAGAATCTCGTTTAGACTGGTTGAAGCAACTGCTTCCAATCTCCACTCATCTCTGAGCTGCGATACGGTGGAAGAGCAATGAGAGAGGATGCCATGCCTGCCGATATCCCTCCGTGTTCAGGCCACACCTGGTAACCGCCATCACCGCGTCACCCTTATCCAAGAAGTTGTCAATTGTCCTTTAATATCTTGGCGAGGAGATAATCGTGACACCAGAAATAATAATGAATCGTCATACGACGGAGAGAATGGCGATGGCTGGTGAAGAGGTAAAATTGACGCGGATTCCCTTCATAAAAATCCGGTTCCCAATCTTCCCGTGCATGATATCCCATTCGACCACATTTTTCTCCCCTTTGGCCACAACTCACGCACATTCCCCGTCTGCACCAGTGTCATTCAGCCAAATGAATTATAATAGGGTGCGGAGATGCTAAAAAATGCCCGAGGAAGAAGCCTCACGTAAACTGGATCCAGTTGGAGCACTGATGGGCAAGGAAATGGTTGGGTGAATTGATGGATTCAATGAAGTACTTGAGGGACATCATATGGTTGCAACTGAGGAAATGCCTTAAACCTGGGGAACCAAATTCAAAGATTTTCATTTGAACACTAAGAGCTTTTCGCATCTAGATTTTTCAGACTTGAAATTGCTCTTCTCATCCACTGAATACACACTTTCTTTTCAAAATAAGAGGAATAAAGTTGGTGGAAATCAAAGGCGTAAACGCCAGTAGGGAAAAGGTAAGACACTCCAGACTCATCGAAATTCGTACCTTTCACGAAGGAAAGAGGCTCACTTTCTAAGGCCTTCTGAAGAGACAAGTTACAATCCGGCATGTGAACCCCGGAATTTGGATAGAAATCCACGTGTCCCATAGGTTGAAACATCCCCAAACCTGTCACGAGTTACGACACAATTTTTCCCCACAATTTGTATCCAACAGTTTTCACTCAGTGTCTGGACATCCCAACCTTTACCTCCTGCTGCAAGGGTAGACCCGTCGGTGTGAATGACATCCACGAATAGAGCATCCTCAGGATCTAATCTCACTCGGGGATCCGCGTGCTCGAAGTGACATCCAGCCGGATCAAGCCCCGTGATGCGACCCAGTTTCCCCATCCCCAGGTCCTTGAGCGTGGATCCGATGTACGAGGCCAGGTGAGCTCCCAGGCTGTGACCCACCACATGCACCTCCTCAATTCGTATCCCCGCCTCCCTCTTCTCAAACATGCAAGCATTGTTTACACGATTCCCTATTATCCTCTAATTCAGAGGTACATGGACATATTTTGCCGAATATGAATCATATATCGCATTTCAATCAATACATCTGTACAAATAATCTATACAGACAGTAAGTTTTTGAAGTTGTGGAAACAGTAAACATTGATCGACATGCCACGCAGCATTGGGAAATGGCGTTTTTGTAGACATGGACAGGTTTTTCACCGCAATCCAAATTTGTGCACAACATACTCATATGAATATCCAATATTTGCACAGATCATCCGCCTGTTATCCAAGAAACAATAATTACTTCCCGGCTGACAGGCGTCCGGATGATAGTCAATCTCACGTCTCCTTTCACCTTTCAGGGTGCAAAAATTGCGCGATGACGACCAGAAATCCTAGTTTTCCAGTCCCAATCCAAGTTTCCCAGGTTCCTAGTACTAGTAGTTGCTGGATTGGATGACGTCCATTTCGAACATGTGTTGTTTTCATGTTGAAGACATGGCATTCCCTATCACTATATATTTTATACTCGCTCACTTCAATGTTTATCTCAAGCCCCCCCCTTCCTTCCTTTCCCAATCCACATGTACGACCCACACGATGATGATCCACACGTACCGGTGCCCTCTGCTCGGTGTGATTGAGTACTCAATGCCTTCACCATGTCTTGTAAAAATTGCTGACACAGATGTCATCACCAAACCGAAAGTGACGTCTTGCGTTTGGAGATATCACAATAGAAAAAATTCACTCTTCTCGCGAGATTGTCTCTGTAGTTCGTAACTTCAAGTCAACTTTAAGTCAACCCTTCCCCCCCTCCCCGCTCGTCGCCAGTATCACCGAAAGACCGTAGCATTGAGCTATGGCATACCTACCGGGATTAGCATCATACCGCAACGCCCTATTGTACAGCAAGTGTAATAAACGACGAAAACGACACCCAGTCATACACAGGACGTTAATGTAAAACCCGCGGACTTGTAGTCGCCGTTAGTGTTATCTCAGGATGAAAAATGATTAATCTTTCATATTGTGTTTACGAATAATTGATGTGCCTCAGGTTGATATTCATTTGCACGTTCATTTCCATCTGGACTACCCATCTCTTCATTTGAATTTAGGTCATTTTAACGTTTTAAAGTTAACTTTAGTCGTTGGGAACGTCCGCTGGAATTCGTACGACTTCTTTACCCTCACCTTTTCAGCCTTTTAGGGGCTTCTGAAGGGCACACATATTCGATTTTGAGTTCGAATCGCTAAGAAAGTAGTCANATTACTTCCCGGCTGACAGGCGTCCGGATGATAGTCAATCTCACGTCTCATTTCACCTTTCAGGGTGCAAAAATTGCGCGATGACGACCAGAAATCCTAGTTTTCCAGTCCCAATCCAAGTTTCCCAGGTTCCTAGTACTAGTAGTTGCTGGATTGGATGACGTCCATTTCGAACATGTGTTGTTTTCATGTTGAAGACATGGCATTCCCTATCACTATATATTTTATACTCGCTCACTTCAATGTTTATCTCACCCCCCCCCCCCCCCTTCCTTCCTTTCCCAATCCACATGTACGACCATACGGTGGGCATACTAGGAGGCCAGACAGGCACTATGAGCCTTTGAAATAAATAGCAATTGCATTTGATTCCTCTTCCACAGTTATGACCAAGCAACTTTTGGTAGTTTCTTCGTAGCAACTCCGTACGTTTCTTGATTCTCTATTGGTATTCATTCGTGTAATGAGTTTTCTTTTACACCGGTGCCCTCTGCTCGGTGTGATTGAGTACTCAATGCCTTCACCATGTCTTGTAAAAATTGCCGACACAGATGTCATCACCAAACCGAAAGTGACGTCTTGCGTTTGGAGATATCACAATAGAAAAAATTCACTCTTCTCGCGAGATTGTCTCTGTAGTTCGTAACTTCAAGTCAACTTTAAGTCAATCCTTCCCCCCCTCCCCGCTCGTCGCCAGTATCACCGAAAGACCGTAGTATTGAGCTATGGCATACCTACCGAGATTAGCATCATACCGCAGCGCCCTATTGTACAGCAAGTGTAATAAACGACGAAAACGACACCCAGTCATACACAGGACGTTAATGTAATACCCGCGGACTTGTAGTCGCCGTTAGTGTTATCTCAGGATGAAAAATGATTAATCTTTCATATTGTGTTTACGAATAATTGATGTTCCTCAGGTTGATATTCATTTGCACGTTCATTTCCATCTGGACTACCCATCTCTTCATTTGAATTTAGGTCATTTTAACGTTTTAAAGTTAACTTTAGTCGTTGGGAACGTCCGCTGGAATTCGTACGACTTCTTTACCCTCACCTTTTCAGCCTTTTAGGGGCTTCTGAAGGGCACACATATTCGATTTTGAGTTCGAATCGCTAAGAAAGTAGTCAATAACTACGGAAGCTCTTAACGCTTACCCCTTTCTGTTTGACTTGGAAGCCGTGGGAAGGAGGGCTAAAGCTTGGAAGATGCCGCCGTGTTTTAGTTGAAAGCGTCTTGGCACTGCCGGGAAGGGCAGTCGACTGAAATACAATCCATTCCCCCCCCCCCTTCCCCTCAATCCTTCCCTATTTCCTTTTCGGTGAGGGTGTGAGCAAAATCATTCGCATAGGGGAATGTCTCCTACCATCCTGCACAGTCACAGCTAGTGGATTGCTGGTTTTAACTCTGATTCCCAGAGTTCTGACTCTGCTTTTTTGCCCTTCTTTTTCCCTCTATACTGGGAAGATTTCGGCCTTACATTTCGGCTCTGCACTTCCAACCACTTCCCTTTCCACCTTTCCCCGCTTCCTTTACTCTTCTCATTCGGCCTCTGTCGGCCAAATGCCGACAGAGGGATACTTTATGACAATTCGTTGGCTGTCAGAAAAACCTCTAGCCGTTTGCATATTCAGTGCCAAAAGAGAAGTCTTACGGCGAGAAAGGCGAGGAAATGAGCACCCATGACTCCGACGAGCCGAATGTTTGCCACAGCATGGATATAAGGCGGTCCGGATCCCCCGAGCCAGCTCAACACCACCACGTTCTGGTCTCTCGACTTCAGCAGCTCCTCCGTCATTCTCTGCATTTTCCTACCTCACGTTAAGAACATCGATGCCAGAACGTAAAGGAGAAGATAAGGATGAAGACAAGCGACCAGTAGAAGCGGCCTTCGTCCATGCTCCAGGTACCCATGAGCGAGCAACGTGACGGGATGACTCGGATCAAATGGGGATTCTTCCAGCCTCCTCGTCTCGTTCGTGCTCAGACGCTGAATAAAAAACTTTTTCAAGTCAGGGAGCATGATCAGGGTGTGAAATAAGTTATTCAACATGAGAGACTCCATGGTTTTCGTGGGTTTCCTGTGCTTCAGAATAACTTCGGGAAGTTTTTTTTTTATCTTAAGGACTGATAACTGAATATTGTTGCTAAACCTTCGGAAATTCAACAATAAATCGGTTGTTTCTGAATTGTGTCTCTAAACTCCTTGAGCGCTGGAATAGAGCGACATAGAAGCTTCGGTGAATTTATTACCCTTCAAGGGAAGAGAAGTCCCGACTAAAAATATGTGGGTTCCAACATGAATGCTTGAAAGCGCTTTGATTTCAAAACCTCCACAAACTTTTTCCATTTCATATGATTGAGCATAGTCGTAAATCCCCTGCGAAGAATCCCGAGAAAACGGAGACCCAACCCGTGACATTGTTACCTCTGTCAACTCCATGGCAGCTGTTAATTCGGACTGTTAGGAAGCAGCGAAGGCGATTAGCTTGGACCGTGGCAGTGTTGAACCACAAAGCTGAATACTGGTTATACCAGTCTCGGGTAAGGATTGTAATCGCGCATAGAACTTAAATAGAAGGAATTAAATGTCCTGGCAAGAAAACCCTGAGTCCCGGAATTTTGTTGCATAGCAATAGATTTTCTCCTAAACATGTTACGCTTGCAAAATAAATTGACCTTCCATCTCACAGGCAAACGATGACGAAGTCGTCACGGCTGCCTCCATCATCGTGGACTTATGGGGCGAATGTTCTCTTCGCATCGTCTTTGAGTGGGGGAAACGTCTTTGGTTTATCTACATAAACAGAGTCTTGTAGTCTCCCCACAGAGAATGGAACTGACAAGCCTGCGAACCTCGATGGGCGGACGGCGCCACCGAAATGGGAAGCGATGTGCCCGGTCGTAACGGTATGCTAAAGTGCCTTCCTTTCATGGGCTGTATGTTTGCGCCATTCTGGTGTAGTCATCGCTTCCTTGCAAAAAGGTTATAGTGCTTCAGCGCATGTCAATGCAGCCGACTGGATGCAGGAATCGGGAGAATTGCTCACTTTTCACGTGCAACGTTTGTGTGAAAACGTCATGTTAGTTGCTAGCCTCTTCGCACTCATTATTGTGAGCATATTAACTGCATGCTTTTTCACATCTCTTTTTTTTTAAATGCAACGAAAAAAAATCCCTCCCCCTACTTTTAGTGGAATTGGCATAGATAGAATCGGGATACCCATAAGGAGGAATACCCTATCATAGAGCACTTTAAAAAAAAAAATTACCATCCCAAAAATTCCATAAAACTACGGTGAGTTCTTCGATTAAATTTGACGAAGACGCAGCTCGAGTCACCGGGATGGGAAAGGGAGTTGTCTCGAAGCAGGATTAATGGTAAGGCCACAGCAAACGTTGTAGGGACGATGGAAAGCTACGTTTGTGGAGACGACTAGATTGCTTGGAAGATGGCTTGCTTCGAGATCGGTGTTCGAGTATGCTTCTTTTCCAGAGTTTGACATCTTATCATTTCCCCACCCTCCCCCCTTTTCTTCAGCCTTCATAACGTCACTATTCCTGAGGTTCTTCTTCCAGAGATCAACGGAGGGATGGGATTCACCGTACGTAGCAATCCTTCGGATTTCGGCGCGTGTAAAGGCAGAAGACCGGTCGAATCACCTCCGGCGGTTCCGGGTGCATAGCCTCTGGCCTTGCAGCGGATTTCCATGGATAACGAGTGGAGAAGCACCCATACGGGGGATAGCATTCCTTCCATTTCCTCTTCCCTGCGAACAAGAATCAAAATGGAAAAGTATGCGTGGGTGGGTGAGAATTTGCGGTAACTTGTAGGTAATTGGAGCACGGAATGTCAAATTGCATTCTTCGCCCGGCCCATCGGAAATAAAATTTTCTCCTGTTGGATTGGTAGGGCTCCGCACAGTAGCTACAGTAGCTGGTTGGCAGGACGAGAGCAACGGGTGATGATAAATGCCGCGTTCGCTTCGATCGGAGGTTTCCTCCACCTTCGCGTTCTATCCGAGATTCGAGGTTAAGTAATGAGGTAATTTCGCGCCCTCGATCCGAGGGCAAACCGCCGAGATGAAGATGCATACATTAGCGAGATTTAAGTCTTTTGGACGAGTGGAGCAAGAAATGGCTCATGAGGTTTAATTCTACGCATACCGAGGTTGATTCCATGTGAGGTTC